ATTTAAGTCATTTTTTTTCAGTTTTTGTGCAAAATTTGGATAATACTATTGAACAAACGAGATAATATTTTCGTGTGAATGTATTTAAAAATGACGAAGTTTTTAAATGTTTTATTAAAGAATTCATTATTTTTTGAAAAATCGTAAAAAAAAGTTTTTGGCATTTTATTTTTTAAATGACTGATTCTAAAAGAGAAAAGCCTGAACTTTCCTAGTCCAGAATATTGATTCATTAACACGAAAAAAATCCTACAGAACAATTTAGTGATCATTTTCATGAAAACCCCTCGATTTTGACTCATTTTAGAAAAAAATTGTAAAAACTAAAAATATCATTATTTTTTTAAAAAATTTTATACAGTATCGTGACGAAATAAATGATCTTTCCCATTAGGTTATTATTTTTGTAATAGTTTGAGAGAAAGAATAAGATGTTTTTTTAAAAAGGTCAAAAAATCGGAACTTCTTTAAACTCAATCCTATAAGCTGATGGTCAGAATTAAAAGCTAACAGGAGTAAAAGTTTTCAATTAATATATGTTTTAACTAATTGCGATATTGGATATAAACGGTCAAAACATGTATTGATATCCAAACTAAACGTGTATACAAAATTTCAGCCCAATCAGTTGAAGACATCAGCTTCGAAAGTGAGTTGCGAAATTCCACCGGAAAAAAATTACTTTAATTAATATCTACACTATTAAAACTCGAAGGTAATCAAACGTATGCGACTATAAGACTCCTCTCACGAACCACACGATGCAAAATCTTGCCAAATGTACCAAAAGCTCGGAAATGATCCGAGGAATCCGTTTTGACCACTTATATTCCAATAGTGCAATTAGATAAAAATATATTAATTAAAGACCTTAAAACGCATAATTTTTGCCATTTTTCTCCCGCCAGGCGGCGAAGTTTCGATTTCTCGACCTTTTTTTTTACACCAGACTTTTTTAAGACACGATCTAATTTTTTTTTAGACTCAGACAAAAAATAATTACAGGATCAGAAAGACACCATTTACTTCGCCACGATACGGTATAATTTATTTTACAAAATAATGATAATTCCTATTTTTTACGATTTTTCTAAAATGTGTCAAAATCGATAAGTTTTTATGGAAAAGATTTCTACATCATTCCGATAGAACTTTCTTTCAATTTTAATGAAATTATATCTACACTAATAAAATTCATGCTTTTTTCTTTTAGTATCAGTCATTTAAAAAATAAAATGACAAAAAAAAATTTACGATTTTTCAAAAAATAGTAAAAATTTTATTTAAATACTTAATAATTTCTTTATTTAATAAATTTAACCACATGAAACTTTTTTTACGTGTATAGAACGATATTATTTGCAATCTGTACAAAGTTTGAAAAATTGCTTAAAAATTACGGTTTAAAAATAATTGTGTGTTTCGTTTTTTCCCACTTTTTGTATGAAATATTGAAGCATTATTTTTATTCATTTTTTCTTTAAGGATTACCGTTGTTTGCAATTGATATATGAAGTTCGGAGACCTTAACTTTAAAATGAAGCCCCATAAAAATTTAAACTTTAACAAATAACGCAATGTGAAATTGAATATCTCTTCCGTTATTTTATTTCTTTTTTTCGGAAGATTTCGTGGATGGATCGCTTAGAGCACTAGGTTATGAACTTCTGTACCCGGGTTCGAAACAACAATATCGCTTAGTTTGTACGATTGTACTAAAAAATACTCAAGATTTTATTCGCCCATTTAAGGACTTCACCAGTAATTTTGTACTTCGAAAGAAAATTTATTTCGTCCCAATACAGTATGTTTTTTTCAAACAAAACAACGATACTTTACATACGACTTTTCTAAAATGAATCAATGTCGATGCATTTATATGAAAATGATTTTAAAAAACTCATACTTTACTCCCTTAAAGTTAGTTATTTAAAAAATAAAATGTCGAAAACTCTGTTTTTATGAATTTGTTTTGGGGGGATAATTCATTTTTTGTGCCACTAGAGGCTGCACATGTCAAGCTGTTTAAAAACAGGTGAATGTTCACTTACTTGAGAAGTTTGATAGCGACAGGGAAATTTTCATGACAATATGTTATGCATTTAAAAATGTTCGTGCGACACCGGGGTGAAATAAACCTGACAAAGAAAAGTAGCGGAAAAATTTCGAAAGAAGGGAATTTTAAGTTATGCACCGTTAAAAGCCCAAGCAACATCGGGCTACGTGAAGGAGAGGAGGGGGTGGAATTCATTTTGAAAAAGAGTATTAGAGAGAAATGCTGATTTTGTGAAAGAAAGGGACAATTTATAAAAAATAGACAAAGCCCGTGTTAGCCCCACCATGCAGCTAGTCTTTTTAACTGAAGGTGATATCGGAAAATAAATGGTCAAACCATACACTGTCATCCAAACTAAACGTGTATACCAGTGTTTCTCAAACTGTGGGGCGCGCCCCCTGGGGGGTGCGATAACCTTACGAGGGGGCGCGAGTATATCGAAAATAAAAGATTTAAAAAATAATTAATTTACTGAAATGAATTAAAACAAAATACTTTCAGACATAATAAAAAATACACTTTTACTCTGATATAAGTTATAGGCGATATTAAGTCATCAAAAAAAACTTCTTCAATACTTAATTAGCTATGTTTGATCCTATAACCAAATAAAAAAATATTTTATTTAATTTGCTGTAATTCCATGATGAGAGAGTTTTTATTACGTTTTCTTTTTTAAAACTAACATTCTACTCTTTCATGAAAAAGAACAGATCCCAGATCCAAAATCGAAAAAATTTACCAACATAAAAAATTCATCACTGTCATTATTTTCGAAATACTGCACATTATAGCTGCAATTTGTTTGACCTTCTAAGTTATTGGTACAGTTAGTTATGACCCCTCTCTTATATGTATTTATCTCTCATTTAAGGAAGTTGTAAGTAATGTATTTCTCTGTTGCGCTTTTTTCCATGCAAAACAGTTCTATGATATTTAGAAAACCACGGAGAGCACACACACACAAACTTTGATGGACTACTTGGCCAAGACTTAGACTAAGATGAGTATTTTCAAACATATAAAGCATAACAATTGTATTTACCAGTAACATAAATATTATCACAATGAATACACTTTTTACCCGGAAGTCGTCGCGCGGGACACACAGATCACGAAATTGTTAATTCTGGCAAAACTATTTAATTGTTACCAAAAAAAAATTGAAAAGTCCTTGAAAGTAGGTAAGTAAACTTTCTTTTAAATAAATTATTCACTGGAATAAAGATTTGTATCGTGTACAACAAAATAATTATAAAAAAAATTGATTTGGGTGACTCAATAACCCCGCTCGACCGTATCCAGTCCTCGCCTGCTCCCAGGCTAAAACATGTTGAAGTATTTTTGCTTTAAATATTAAAAATAATACAATTATTCTTCATCGGAATTTTACATTATTGTTCATTATTTAACATCAATTATGAATGCTAATTCTGTAAGGCTTAAAAAAAAATTAGCTTAAAACTAATTTTAATTTGAGCAATCATTTAAAAAAAAACATTATACATTTTTGTAAATATTGTCGCGCACTTGGCTTTACTCTCCTTGCAATACAGCTATTATATCAATAATGTTTTATTTTCTTATAAATGTGAACTTCTGCAAAAAGTGGATACTTCGGCTGGTATATTTTTAATGTATCAGTGCTACACAGAGTATTTTATAACTGATTAATTAATACTAAATTTTAAGAACAAGTTTTAATAAGTATTAACGACTTCCATGGGCTTGTCTTGCAAAGCAAAGTTTTTACAAGGAATGCTTATGATTAGAAATTGACCCTCTGAGTTATTTTTCTATATTTAGCAGATATCCATATTTTATTTTCTAAGCAGTCACCGCATTTTGCAATGTGTTCAATTTAAAAATTAGAGAAAGGAAAAATAACATAATAATTATCCTATTACTTACTTAATTAATTTTTTGCTTAAAAGTAGTATTCAAAATTTAATACTTATGTTACTAATTTGTATGGTTTATAATTAAGATCTTATATTGTAGCTTTAGAGTTAAAGAGTGCATTATTAATGTATAAGGGGGCGCGATAAAAATTGTGATTGAAAAGGGGGGCGCCAGTATTGAAAGTTTGAGAAGCACTGGTGTATACAAAATTTAAGCACAATCGGATGAAGACGTCCACTTCAAAATTGAGCTGCAAAATTCCACCGAGTGAGTGAAGATTAACGTCGCATTGTTCACCTACACGAGGGCTTTTGGCGACGGACCCCGTAATTTTGAAACATGGTCAAGTGACGTGGACGACACCTAAGGTAGCACCCCCTCTCCTAACTACCACACCACACCAATGGGAGGACTCTTCAGCTCTCGACAGATTTAACATGCATCGCTGCCCTACACGGCGGGTCTTTAATGGTACTGGGCTTGAACTCATGGCATGCCTAAACATGATCCGATACCTTGACCACTGGGCTACCGCAGCCCTAAAACTCCGCCCGAACAATTTACATTAAAAGTTAAATAAAAGCTTGTAAAATATAACATACTTTATACGTGTACAGATTGGAAGTATTGTAAAGTATCTCGTTGTACAAATCAAATATTTTACTCGTAAAAGTAATAATTGGAGGCGTAAGGTATCAATCCCCTTACCTCTTCTTGCTAAGTGAGCGCTCTACCTTCTGAGCTATTCTCCCGGTCGACAACTGTGTTAATGTAAACATGTTCCCGTTAACTCCTGAACAAGATCATTACAATAAATAGGTCAGTTGAAAAAGTTACGGGAGGGACCAGAATCACAAGAAAATAAATATCATAGAATGTTTAAAAGTAAATAGAAATAGTTTGATAGATCTGTCTTTCTTAGTGTTCCCTGTAGAGCAGTAAAAATATAACATTATTTGTACGTATGCTGAATGGAAGTATTGTATATCTCATTGTACAAATTAAACGAATTTCAAAAATATTTTACACGAAAAATAACGAGTGGAAGCGTGGGGTATCGATCTCCGAATGTCTCGCATGCTAAGTGAGTGCTCTACCATCTGAGCTACGCTCCTGGTCGAGACCAGTGTGTTATTGTAAACATGTTTGGATTAACACCTGAACGAGATCATTACAGTAACTAGGTCGATATAGGAATATAAATCGCCAAACATGCATTGTCATCCACACTAAACGCGTATACAAATTTCAGGTCAATCGTTTGAAGAAATCAGCTTCAAAATTGAGTTGCAAGATTCCACCCGAACATTTTACATTGCAAGTTAAATGAAAGCTTTTTTTAAAAAAAACAGGAAAGAACGTGGAAAATCAAATTTGATCAAGAGAAGTAATTTTCGAATGAAAATTCAAGTAATTTAAAGTAAATTTAAAAACTGTTACTTCGCGGGAATGGAACCCGGAGCAATTTTTTGAAGTTAGCTTCTCTAAACTCTAGGCTACAACGGGTAGTGGAAAGAGATAAAAGAATTTTGTGTAAACTAAACGTGCATACAAAATTTCAGCTCAATCGGTTGAAGATATCAACTTAAAAATTGAGTTACGAGATTCCACCCGAACATTTTTTTAATTAATATCTTTTTAACTAATTGCGATATTGGAATATTTGTAATCAAAACATGTATTGTCTTCCACACCTAACGTGTATACAAACTTTCAGCTCAATCGGTTGAAGACATCAGCTCCACAATTGAGTTTCAAGATTCCACCCGAAAAAATTACTTTAATTATTATATTTTTATCTAATTGCGATATCGGAATATAAGTGTTCAAAACATGCATTTTCATGCAAACTTAACGTGTATATAAAATTGCAGCTCAATGGGTTGAAAGCATCAGTTTCAAAACTGAGTTGAAAGATATTCCACCCGAACAAATTACTTGAATTAATATCTATTTAACTAATTGCGATATAGGAACATAAATTTTCAAAACGTTATGTAATCGTTAACACAAAGATTTGTATTTAAGAAATTAGAAATATATTGATAATTGCCTTTTTACGACAGATAAGAAGAAGACGTGTTTTCTTTATATTTGAAAACTAAGCTAAATTTGCCTGCTGAAAGTAAAACATGGACCTCAACCATCGTCCGTTAAAAAGTAGCACTTTTCATTTTCCGCAACCCGGCTCAATCATTAGATTTGGGATATTCTTACGTACAACTTTTCCTAAAGCAAACATGTATACGAATATCTAACCCGCGAGTTGGGTCTTAAAGTGTTATAAAAGCGTGTTATTTATTTTTTAAACTATTATTTATTTTAGAAGAATATGTAACGTATGTGAAATTATGTTTTCATTTTGCTATTTGCAACAAACACATTTTATTTTTTTAAGCGTTCCTCTCTTCATGAACTCCATAGCAGAACTACCTCGTGAATTTTTAACTTAAGTACAGAAAGTCCTATAAAAAGTGAACAACAGTGAGGATATAAAGAGCAAAAGGTAAAAAAAAAAAAGTTCTAAACTGCTTGTTTTATTTTGGAGCTTTTCAGACGATTATCATTGGGCACAACGAGTTCGACAACTTAGGAGAAAATGCAATAAACATTTTCTTTTAAATATCGAGTGCCGGAATGAGTATTTCATGATTTTAAGGCACCTGGAACTTGTTTCCCTTGTACTTGTATTTTATTCCAGAAAAATATGCAAGAGGAGAAAAGAAAACCGGAGAAGAGTGGCTGTAGGAATTGTTTTCTCTTTTGAATGTAAATTTAGTGTGTTTCAGGCCTATTTATCTTTCATGCGCTGAATTTTTGACAATAATAATTACGATTATTTTAGATGAACTTCTATGAACTATAATTACGCACTGAACAAAAGCTGGCACATATTAATAATATTACACTTTTTTCAATTAAATCGTGTCCAAAATTTTTAAAAAAATAGATGGTACATATTTTGTACCATCTTGCTCTAGGCAGCGGAATAATTTTGTTTCTAGCTCTTCTCTTTGCACAATGGAACTTTGCATACACAACACGTTCATCCTGTAATAAATTTGATTGCTTTGAACTTGGGAAGATAAATATATACATTTCACACACACAGACACACACACATCTCTCATACTGTTATTTCCCATACATTAAACTTTTTCAGTTTCCCTAATCTAAAGTTTTAAACATAATTTTAGCTTAGACCTAATTTAGCTAATGTTAGTTTTGATTTAAAATATTTTATTCCATACATTTTTTTTTTTTACATAGTTTTCATTTAGTAGAGTAATGCGTAATGAGTGTATTAATTTTATTTATTTTTTCTTTAAAATCAGCTATAGCTCATTCAGGTTTTTTGTATAATTTTGAGCATATACTATTATTTAATAAATATTATTATTCTTTAAAAAATTAATTTTGAACAAATCTATCTGGCATAATAAACATATACAATACTGTAAAACAATAAGCAGAATGCATTTTGTATTTGTAAAAAAAGATTGCCTTGAATAGACTGGTTGTACATTTTTTGGAATCTTCTATTTTCAAACTAGCAATGCACTTGTCAGGTACTAATTATTGTAATATTGACTTGTTTAGTTGCATAATCTATACACTTACCTGATTTGTATCAAATATCACAAGAATCACTTTCATTTACTCTTAAAAATACACAACACAGTCACTTCCACAAAATACCCTCAACAGACTCACAACTGATCAAAAATGAACTACTGCATACACCCATTGCACATTTCTGACATCTGTTGGAAACTTGAGAAATTGATAGGAGTTGACCTCTGTGGTGTTTCTGAGAATGTATTCCTTAGCATTAATTTCTGAGGCATTCAAACAAGCGGTACGTTTTATATAACACCCAAACAATAAACGATTCAGAAGTAGTGAAACAACAAATGTGTCACCAAGCATTAAATTGTTAAACAATTCGTGTTTTATTTATTTTTTTTACTGACCGTACTTTACTTTTTAAAGAAGAAATCTATTGAACTAAATTTAGGGAATTATTCAGTTAAATTCGAAAAAGGAAGAATTTCCTATAAAAAATTGTTTTTTTTTTATTTATTGAAGAGTTAAGAAAGGTTTTTGAAACACATTGGCATATTTTATCCCACTGTCCTATTTAGAGGACAGCTGAAAAATATCATGGGGAAATCATTATTTGTATGCTGCGAATATTTTGACTATTGGAACATGTAGGGATTTATATTGGCATCTTCCAGCGTGTGTTACCTGTCTCAATCCCACCCCCTTCCTCTGGAAATTTTGCATATACGTCACATTTTGGGGTGCAATTTGTACCATCTTTTTAAGGTTGTAGAATTCTTTTTTCAATTTACTTTGAACACTTGGCTGGACATTTTTATCTGATAGTACTCGTTCTTTATGCTCCCACTGGTTAATAAGAGCGATACCGTTCTTAGATAAATTTTAGCTGATTATTTTTTAACTGTCCACTAAGTATAGGACAGTGGCTCCCGCTTAGTCCCACTGTCTCTGCATTTTCAAATGCAATTTTTAAGTAAGTTGTATCTTTAATGAATTTAGAGATTCATATCCATTACTTTCAATAGGTTTTTGCTCAGTATTATTTACATAAAGGGGGAAGTTTGGCTGGCCAAAAACATGTTCAACCCCACTTTTATATAAATTATTTTATTTATCAGCTGTCCTAAGTCAGCAATGTTTATAATACTCCAGCATCCATTTTATAATTTTTAATTCCGGTTGCTCACGTGTCCTTCATTGTGTGATTTTCCTACTGCCTATGTGTGATTGTTGGATTTTTATCTCCTGTTTGTAGAGAATAAGACACTATATATATTACTTGTTAAGCTATACAGTTCCTGACAGTACCTCACCGAATTTAAACCAGCTGGTTGACGTAGTTAGTTAGGGATTGGAATACCAACCTGGTCCAAATCGGTGGTTTTCATGATGCAAAAAAATCGATAGCATCCATATCGTATGATTATGCGGCATGTAAATGATTCCCTTAACATATTTTGTTTACTTGGGTGATGTTGGTAAATTTTAATTCTTAGTACAATTTCGCAGCGTAAGAGCTCATGTGCATTCCTCAAGGGAGGGAGCTGGATTTAAAATTGCTGTGTGGCAAATGGTATCTATTTATATGATGTCACATAAAATTATACCAGCTCCCGGTGAATGTACTAGGTCTGCAATGTTAAAATATCAATCACAGCCCCATTTGAATTTTTAAAAAATGGCAAATGTATAATTTGAAACTTATTAAAATATTTTTTCCTGAGATAAAATTCTGAAAAATATTATGATATAAATAAAAAATTTCGGTTTACCTAGAAGTATAGTAATCATTCGTAAAAAGAGATTCAAACCTTTGCAGCGGTAAGATAATTGTCAAAATCCTTTTAGAAGCTATGTATTTTAAATTTGCAATTTTAAATAGAAAAATTCACATTTTTCGTATATTTAAAACATTTTAAGAAGGTAAACGTGGATAATTGTTAATTGCATACATCTAACACTTCCAACAGAACATCTTAATTTTAAGCAATGAAATGTCTTATTGGAAATACCACCTTCATGCTATTTGCTTAATTAAGCTTGGAATACTGCATTTTCCTGTTGCTATAGTAACAGTTTGAATTAAAACGTTTCTCTTAATAACTCCAGTATTTACATACTCTTCTTAAGATACACGCTTAATTCAATTACCCAGAAAGGAGTTCAAAGCAATGAATGCATTCAAAATTCTTATTGAAAGTGGCTTTACTTCTCTCGGTAGCTTGGTTTACTGTACTAGATATGTAAAGGGTTTCAAATTTAAAAAAGAAAAAAAAAATAGGCGTTTTTATTTGAAATGATAATTTCATGTATGTGTAAAAATGTAAAAGATTAAAAAAAATAGCGAAATTTTTTAAGTAATAAGTAAAGTTAATTGTATTAGAAATGCCAATCTGAACTTGTGAGAATGCTATTTACAAATAAAAAGAATAAACATTTATGAGAAGAAAAAATAGACGAATCACCTCTTATTTCATGTAGCTTTAATAATGGTTGCGGGGAGATAGGGGCATTGAATCAAAATAAGAAAATTGAAGGAACTTTACGT